AAAAAAAAACTTATATTTTAAGGTATAGACTAAAAACACTCTTAAATATTTAAGTTGTACAATTCCTGCCATTATCATGGTTTTTTAAATAGTTGAATATTTATTTTTATATAAATCAATCAAAAAAATGGTGAAAACTTATTTAAGGGAGAACCCACGCGCTAGACGTGATGCTAAAAAATTAATTTTTTAATTGTGTTCGATGTTTTTTTTATAATACTAATAAAATAATATAAAAATAAGATACATTACAACTTTAAAATTAATAATTTAAAATTATGTAAATTTTCATATATATCACTTAATTTATGTGACGATGCGAGACAAACAAGGAGAGAGCCTACTTAAGGAGTAGTAATTGTGTTGATGTTACTACTTTATGCTTCTAGGAATATTATTTATATATTTTAACCATATATTTAAATATCACAATTAATAATTCACCTCAAGCCTCAGGGATACCATTTTTTCCTTTTAAATTATTTTTATTAAGTACTCCGTAACAATTTGTGTACAATTAATAAAAGTAATGTGTAGACCATAGGTTAAAGGATACATTTAATCTTTCGTCTTAATAAATTTAAAATTTTTAACCCTTTACTCTATATTAAAAAGTTTTTAGCCTCTCATTTTAGTAAATTTAAAGTTTTTAATTTTTCACTTTATATTATAAAGTTTTTAGTTCTTGAACTTAAAAGTTTGAAAATTTTAGCTTCTTGAGTAATGGAATCCGTTAACTCTTTATTAAGGTGAAAATAAAATATTTACAAGATTAATCTTCAAAATTTAAAAATATAATAATTTAGTTTCAAAAGTTTAAAAATTAAAAAATAAAAATAATTAGTAGATAACTTTGCTATATACCCGAGAATAGCATTAAATATCTATAATTAAATTGAATTATTAGTTTAATCTAAAGAAAGAAATCTAACTAAAATTTTAAAAAATTTCTTAACTGTATTCTTTTAATATCTTGGATTTTCTATCCAAACTCATCTAAGAAATTTTTTTTAATCTTAGTTAGAATTTTTTTTTTTTTTCAAATTGAGCAAGTCACTTGATTTATTATAAATATATAATACTGTTCTAATGTATATAAGAAAGTCATCTATAAATTTCTTCTAGTTTACTAATTTTTTTAATTTTTAAACCTTAAAACTAAATTGTCATATTTTTAATTTTTGAGGATTGATCTTTGTTGGGAGTGTGCTGGTGATGTAGGTTGATGAATCAACAACGGTGATAATGTGGAGGCTGACTAGGATGCC